CCCCAAAACCCCAAAACCCCAAAACCCCTGCTTCTAAAATTATCAAAATAAGATTATGTAGCCTAATAAATTAAATAGATAGATAAATTTTCAATGATATAGTTGATTTACAACTGATAGAATATAACAAATTTGTCGATATCAAAATCTCATTTAATCTCAATTATTTTGATCTTCATCCTCCATAATATTTAGGTTACAGAGAGGGCATCTTGGTTCTCTTATATTTTTTGCAACCCAATTTTCAAGACACACATTATGAAAAAGATGGCCACATCGGCTAATTTTTCTAATAATATTGTTAGTTTCATAATCATCAAAGCAAATAGAACAGTTGCTTTCACCGAATTCGGCGAATCCTTTGTCAAATTTACCCTTAACTGTAAATAAATCCATTACTCTATCTAATTTCCTTTACTTCCTCTTGGGAAGACTTACCGGCTTGATTATCATGCCTTCTTAATTGAGAGTATTGACTCTTGCTGAATCTTCATTATCGGAATATGAAAAATCACTAAGCGCGATGTCATTCAAAAGCTAATCATTATTTCTACCCTGAGGTCCGAGGTATTAGATATTATGGAGACTATTTTGATTATGAGAACGCCTTATATTTCTTTGAATTGGAAATTATCTATAATCATTTTGAGCTTGTCTATTATAGCTTTCAAAAACTAGATTATTAACCAGTTACATCACTTAATTTGGATTCATGCCTTCGTATTCACCTTATTAAACAGAAGAGGGTCTCGTCTATTGCTCATTTACTGGTAAGATCCAACCAGAGGGTGGCAATCTATTATTAAATCTTTAAACCTAATTGTGATTGTTAGATCTATTTATAATCTGATTCTCTAGTTATTACTAAACTCTTAATTACTAATACTGATCTGCACTAAATTAAAATGAGTCACCTGATCTGTTCCTGATAACTTCTCTAAAAAAGTTGTCTCTCTAAGGTTAATTAACTTCTTATTATCTGTCAACCGCATCTGTCTAGTTTACTGAATATTAACCATTAGTATTGATTACAGGTGAATCTTAATTCGAAGCAAGAGCATGATGAGGATTAATTTTATTTTTACTAATGTATACTCTGTAAAGTTTAATAAAAATAGCCAAAATCATCAACGAAATTATTAAAGCCCCTGCTGATATGACAAAGGGTTGGATGATAGACAAGTCTATTTCATTTTTATTTTCCATTTTAATTGTCTTATTGTACACATTTGAGTTCTAAGTATTAGTCTGGTAGGTATTTAGGTTTACCGAAACTTAATAATTTTTATCAATTTAAGGAGCTTTAGTTGTAGTAGAGGTAGAAGTTTTCGTGGTGGTAGTGGTAGAAGTAGTTGTCCTTTGAGTAATTTTAGTTGTGGTCATTGATGGGGCTGGAGTAGTTGTGAATAAATAGTATTGAGTTGGATTTTACCCTTGAGATTAGTATTATGCTGTTTGATTTTAAGAATTTTGAGAGGAGTTTGAAAAAGTACTTGTGAGGTTATATTATTATTATGAAATAACTTAAGTTGTAATTTGTTTGCTTTGAGTTGAGGTTGGTGAAGGAGTTGTTGATATAGATTCAGTGTAATTATAATAAACATAAGTTTGACCAGGAGATAAAGTTGTTGTAGTATCGCTTAATGATTAATAGTCAGCAGTACTGTTCAAAATTCTACCTAAATGCCTTAACATATTTACCATTTAAATCTTCCTTAAATATTATTAATTTTCATAGCTAAAATAATAATAGTATCTTGCATAAATGGGGTTTTGGGGTTTTGGGG